CACCTGCTGATCTAGTGTAAATTATAATTTTTTCTCGTTCACAGTTCAGGTTTTTGTTTTATGTTTAGTATTCAGTTTTATAAATATGCAGAACATTCTAAGATATGCATGCAACCAAACAGAATCAGGAATAATAGACAAAGTCCAAAGAAGTAATTAAAAAGCTCGGTGGATATTACATTAATTTTCTTTTGTAAAATTGACGTTATTTTTATTATAATGTAAACAAAGATATAGATATGTGTACTTGTTTAATACAATTAACTTTGAAATACATTGATGCATCAAGTTTTAGTAAAATATCAAAGTGTGAAGATTCGAGTAAAAAAAGCTCGGCACGGAACGTGTTAAACGTCAGGGAATCTGTTTCAAGAACGTTTTAGGGGATCGGCGAGCGGACCGAGGCCCGTGGTTCCACGTAAAACCGGAGCTGTAGGTGAAAAGTTGCGTGTGACTTTTTGCAGGATATATCGAGCGGCTACACGAAGAAACCACGGAGTAATGATCAGAGGTACGCGGTCTGGGGTGCCGACCGCGAATTCGAGACAGGCGTGTCACAACACCGGACATGACTGCCGATGTAGATTTCGCTTAACCGGCGACCTAGTGTTGAGGATCCTTCTCGGCCTTTGCTACATCACCGGCACCTGTTGCGACTGGAAGGAAAGAATGCCGCAAGGAACCAAGAAGATACAATTTGATCGCAGTCGAACGCCCGAGCTCGGCTACTGCGATTTCGAAAGCGCTTGTAATTCCTGGTGGAATGTAACAATACCCTTCAAACGAGTTACCCCGGACCGTAGCGGATTCGGGCCGATGACGGATGCTAGTAACTCGGTACACGGTAAGACACCTGCAATTTTGGCCTGGAATTGGAGACAGGATCAAATTCGATATATAGTAAATTCTCCCTAATTTTCCTTAAGCTTGTAAATACAAATGAATTATTTGGGAAGAGGAGATACAATTGTTTGAGCCTTGCACCTCGTTTTTATAATTGCTGACAAACGGAAACTATAAAAAAGAGCCGCGAGGCTCGGATAATCGTATCTCCTCTTCCCATATTGTTCATTTTTATTTACAAGCTGAAGGAAAATTGGGGAGAATTTACTACACACCCTCCTCCAAAAGAGTTGGAGCACCTGCTGATCTAGTGTAAATTATAATTTTTTCTCGTTCACAGTTCAGGTTTTTGTTTTATGTTTAGTATTCAGTTTTATAAATATGCAGAACATTCTAAGATATGCATGCAACCAAACAGAATCAGGAATAATAGACAAAGTCCAAAGAAGTAATTAAAAAGCGCGGTGGATATTACATTAATTTTCTTTTATAAAATTGACGTTATTTTTATTATATAATGTAAACAAAGATATAGATATGTGTACTTGTTTAATACAATTAATTTTGAAATACATTGATGAAATTATAACAATTTCCTATCGGTTTCTCAAATTTATTCAATTTTCTGTGAATGTTCTAAATTAGAAACTTAGAACTTAAATTAAATAAATAGTTGTGGAGGGGAATGTACCCGTATTTTCGTATTCTTAAGTCTCGCGGTGCATTTATGGAAAAAATTTCTTGCATATAAGTACATTGCTAGATAAAATTATGACAAATAGGAAATTGTTGGTATGAGAACTATAATAATACTTACATTAAAATGTATTTCATCGAAAACAAAATAGTACAATTTTACTTGGTCAGAAATATAAGACACTGCTTATAAAAATGAAGGAAATGTAAAAAATTAAATAAAATTATTACATCTTTTAGTATATTAGTGGTGGGTAGAGCCTTCGTTATGCTTGGTGTTTCAACATCGGTGGTACAACCGAGGACGGGATGATTTTCCATGAAAAAAGAAATAGAGAATAAGGAATAACATTTTTTTCATTTAAGGCTTCGTTGACGCGAGAATCGAATTTAAATATTCAGCATTTTCAACAATTTTTGCATTAATAAAGTAAGTTAGTAACTAAATTACATGTCTTATTTTTATTTGAACACGCTCTAAATCCATAGGCAGAAATGAGTAACGAAACACATGTTGATACTAATGACATTAGCGCTATTTATAAGTGACATATGACTCCTGTCGAGATCCATCCATCTAAACGATTCTAAACCATAGTTACGTGTATGCGTACTCGCTGAATATACGAAGTATATGAATATACAACGAAGTCTCGTATAAAAAAATTTGATTCCTTGTTTTCCATTTGTTTTTTCATGTCTCGATTGTACATTTTGCTATGCTATTATTTGTGTTACTATTTAAGAAAGAACAAACTGCTTTGCATAGAAAAAGCTTTTTACTAAAGAAAACAGAACCGAATCCTTTTGAATTACAATATATCTCTCATCGGTACACAATTAAACGAAGAAATGTGTTATTATAGAAGTAAACAAAAATTACGTAGAGAAAGAGATATTCTCGAAGACGCAAATATATATTATGTATAATTTCAAATGATTCATAAAAATAGATTGCAAAAAGGTAA